TATTTTTGTAGTCTAGGTTATTTCTTTTTGTCTCAGAGAACGTTAGTTCTTTGAGGCAAATCTCATATTTTCTTTTAGTTTTTTTTGTTTATGCCCAGGTGTTCTAGATCAGGGTACATCCCATTCGATCCTGAGATCGATTGATCCTTCCATAGACATAAGAACCTTTACAAGCAAATTCTGGCGGACTCTGGTGATAATAATAATCATCGCGATCCACCAACTAGTTCTAGCGATTCAGAGGTATCATCAGATCCAGAATCAGAGATGACGGCTCCAAAGAAGCTTAGTGATTACTCACAACCAAAGCTTACAGATTTTCCACATCTCACTCCTTCTCCGCTTCAACTTTCCGCTACTCTACAAGCCCGCCAACAGGGAGCTCTGCCAGCAAAATCGACTAGGCCTACGGATCAAGCCTATGAAATTACCCTAAGGAGTGGTTCAAACTATGAAGGGCCCCCTATGCCCAGAGTTGATGAACCTATTTTAATAAATAATGCTAATCTTGATTCCGTTAAACCAGAAAATGTAGCTAATAGCCCCGCAAGGCTAAAGCATAGTACTAACATATCTAATTCTACATTGCAGGATACGACTCTAGAGAAGGTGGCCACTCTAGATAAGAGCAATAATGCTCCAAAGCCAATGATCAAACTTCTATTCCCCAATCGTCAACTGAAAACAAATTTGGATAAGCAGTTTGGTAAGTTCCTGGAGATGGTAAAAGATTTGAAGGTAACAGTTCCCTTCACTGAATTAATCACACAAATTCCTGCATATGCAAAATTTATGAAAGAAATATTGACAAGAAAAAGGTCTATTAGTGAGGTAGAGACAGTAGCTTTCATTGCAGAGTGTAGTGCCGTACTTCAAAATAAATCTCCACCTAAATTAAAAGATCCGGGTAGCTTTTCTATCCCTTGTTATATTGGCAATCTAATGATTGATAATGCATTATGTGATTTGGGTGCTAGCGTTAGTGTTATTCCGTTATCTGTGTGTTCCAAGTTGAATATGGGTAAATTAAAAGCTACTAAAATTACTCTATAAATGGCCGACCGTTCTTTCAAATATCCCTTAGGTGTTTTAGAGGATGTTCCTGTTAGAGTAGGTAAATTTTGTATACCTGTTGATTTTTTTGTTCTTGAAATGGCTGAGGATATGCAAACCCCAATTATTTTGGGTAGACCATTCCTTAACAGTAAAGGAGCAATTATAGATGTGAGAAGTGGTAAACTAACACTATCGTTGAAAAAACTAACAAAGAAGAAAATAAACTACAGAATGCAAATCAATTTAAATGATTTTGATAATTTGCGCCCCATTACGTCTAATGACGAGCAAAAATCGTTGAAAATTGATCAAACGGATCAAAATCAAGATTCCGGTCATTTTAGTGACCAGTATCCGCGCGCAACTCAGTAGGTCGCGCTGGCCAGGTGCGCGCATCGTTCTGAGTTGCGATGGTCTGTCACGCGCAACTAATTTAGTTGCACGCAACATTTAAGTCAGCAAAAAGAGAATCGTTGAGTGAGATTTTTCATTTCTCTTTCTCTCTCCTTCCTTCACGATTTTCGCTTCTTTCTCTCTCTAAAGAGCTAGGATTTTCTTGTTTTTCGAAGTTAAAGAAAGTAGATCTCGTCCCTTATTCATATTTGCTATAGTTCGTTCATTCTTGACTGAATTTGGGCGATTTTCAAACCGTTAAATCCCAAATTTTGAATTTGGGGGTTTTTTTATTCAACTTGTTTTCATGAATTTGTTTGTTTGTCGTTGTGACATGTTTAAGCAATATATTGAAACAAATTTCATGTAAAGTGACAAAGTATTGATCATGTATGAGCATGCCAAGCATATATATTTTTTGTTCTAATTTTGACTTTGTGCTTGAATTTTATTTCTCTTTTGTTTTGCTCACATGGACTATACATGTTAATTTTAATGTAAATTTAAGTGTTTAGAACAACAATTATGCATTAAAATTAAAAATGAAATTTTGAACTTTTATAATAGCATTAATTTGTTCTTGCGACTCATGTTTTTTTTCATGCGTAAGTTTCAAAATTGGTTTTATCAATGATAAAAATAACCGACGGTTATTATTATTCACTTATAAAACTGTGATCTCAAGATTTGCACAAAACTAGTTAGTTTAGGGAATTCTTGAAGAGCTCATCGAACTGGTGTAGTTTGGTTAAATTTCGGGTTTGTAAGCCCCCATTTTACATTTTCGAATGTTGTAGCCCCAGTGTTGGGTGACTTCGATGATTTTCTTGTTGTCAATAATTAGACCCTTTCATGTTGCTTGAAATGGGTCTACAAATCCTGTGTTTTGTCTTATTATGATAACAAGTAGGATCTTGGAAACGATTAAACTAGTGTGTTTAAACCGTTTTTTTACCATTGATAGTTTTAACAAAGAAATTTGCTAATTCTAGTAACAATGGTCATTCATTAGAATAAGTATGGGAAAAATAAAATGTTGTTCAAATTTTTCATCTATTCTTGCTACATTTGAATTCTTTCTTTTAAGTTCAAATTTTGTCACTTTTTTGAATCTCGAGAAAGTAGGTGTTATCCTCCTTGCAAAATTCCAATGCGTGCAACAATGGAGAATAATTTTAAATGAAGACTCCTTAATTTAGAATTTAGGAGTCTTTTGTTTACATTCTAACTCATGAAATTGTTTATCTTATGTTAATAATGTGTCTTGATACAATTTTAATGATTAATGATTGAGTACTAAACTTTCGTATGAGCAAGTATGATTTTGTTTCTTTTGCTCTATACTAGTCATAGTCTCTAATCTCTAGAGTAAATTGAGGTATTAAAACAACAATTATGCACTAAGATTAGTTTTTGAAGTTGAACTTGAAAATGGCTCTAGTATGTAACCTGTTTAATGGCCAAGTTTAGTTGCAAACTTAGTTTTCAAAGGAACAACATGATTATTATATCATTTTGATTCATTTGAAAATTATAAGGCTCGAGATCTACGTAAACCATTTGTAGTTTATGCGATTCTCGAAAGTAGCTCGAATGGCATGAATATCTCATTTTGTTTTTTTTTTGTTGATATTGTTGCCCCCATGTGTTGGGTTATGCGCATTCTTTCTATTTCGCAAGTCTTGGAGCCCCCAATTGGGGGTAAATTCTAATGACTTGCTATTGTTTAGGCCATTCATATGATATTGAGATGGACCTGTGTATGTATCCTATTTTTCGTTTTGAAATATTTAGGACAGTGATATGGCTTTCAAATTTTAGTTAAAGTTATTTTGAAGAAAGCAAGTTAGTTTTTTGCTTGTTTATAGACTAAAAACAATTGTGTTTAAGGTTTATTAATGTTACCTAATGTCTAAACGTTTGTAAAGATCATTGCGGTGATTTTATTCTTCAAAGTTGATTTAGAACATCAAATATTTTCTTTTTTCTTGTCAATCTTTGATTTTGGTCTTGTAGGTGATTCATTTACCATCCCTTAGCCAATAAGCGAGAACAAGTTGGAGTCAAGAAGAAGTCGAATCTTAATTAATTCCTTTTGGAAATATCTATGTATATACATGTATTATCCAGACGGTTATTGAGAATCTGAAAATTTATTTATTTTGAGAAAACAAAAATTCAGAAAGGAAATTCTAATACTATTTTTATTAGAAACATGTTTTATTTAAAATAAGGTAAAAAATTTATTAATCACCAAAAAAAGTAAACCAAGATACAAACAAAACAAATTTCCCTAGTCAAGGGAACACACAAACACCCCTAAAACCCACTACACCCATATAAACAAAACTGAACACACACAAACAAAACAGTTGTTGAATAAGAGACTTGACCCACTCCCTATTCTTTCTGCTAGTCTTCAAAGGCATAATCTGCATCACTCTTCTATAAATGTCACAGAGCAAATTCTGCACCACTCTTTGAGGATCTTCTAGACACTTATCCCACACTGACTTGTTCCTTTGCTGCCACACAACATATAATAACCCAACATAACAACTCTGCATTACTCTTCTCTTGAATCTTCCTGACACCTTTAGTAGCATCTCATTACAGTCTTCCAGAGAAGTAGGATTTTGCATACCCAACCTTCTGCCAATAATACTACAACACTCAGTATTGTAATGACAATCAAAGTAAAGATGATCCATAGTCTCAGCATGATCTGCACAGAAAGGGCAATTTGTCTCATCAATGATGCCATACTGAGCTAACTTACTCTTCACTCTTATTCTTTTCCACATGATCATCCACCCCAGAAATCTATGTTTTGGAATATGTAATCTATTCCAAATCCACTCACACCAAGGAACTTCAGGCAAATCGTTTCTACGCCATCTGTAACCACTTGCAACAGTATATCCTTTCTCATTTACAAGCCATTTCTGACCAGTATAGCCCTTTTTAAAACATTTCTTCAAATGTCAGATCTGCTTCCAGTTCCAACTTGCAGATTTAGCACAAGGAACTCTCTTCCAACTCTTATTCTTCATATAAAGGTGATTAATCCACCTTAGCCACAAACTATCTTGTTTTGTTGCTACATTCCAAATCTATTTCCCAAGAGTAACAAGGTTCCAAGTCTGGCAATCATGGATCCCTAACCCACCCTGACTCTTGGTTCTACATACAATATCCCAGGCTATAGGTGGAGTCCTATTAAAAATAGGTTTACCATCCCAAAGAAAATTTTTGCGGACAGCAATGATACCATTCAAAACCACCTTAGGCAGAATGAAAATACTAGTCTAGTAAGAGTGCAGTGTAAGCAAGACATAATTCACCAATTGAGCTCTCCCGGCATAAGATAAGGTCCTTGAACCCCAAGATCTAATTCTGGCAGTGATTTTATCAATCAACACCTAACAATCAGTCCTAGTTAGCTTCTTTGAACCAACATTTACCCCCAAGTACTTAAAAGAAAGAATATCTTCCTTAAAGCCAGAATTCTGAATGATTTCCTGCTTAACACTAGGATTCATATTGCAATATTAAATATTAGACTTCCCATCATTATTGGCCACCAAACCAGAAGCAAAAGCAAAAGTAGCTAAGATTCTCATAAGCATCACCACAAAACTCTTGTCAACTTTGCTGAAAAGAATTAAATCATCAGCAAACACTAGATGATTAAACTTCAAACATCTGCATTTAGAGTGAAAAGAGGAACTCTTATGCTCACCCACCATCTTCAGAATTCTTGATAGGTATTCCATACAGATCACGAAAGGCAAAGGTGGCATAATATCACCTTGCCTTAAACCCCTCTTACCATGAAAAAACCCTTCCAGATTACCATTAATGCTTAAAGAGAAAGAAGCAGTGGTAACACAAGTCATAACCCAAAGAATGAGCTTATCTGGGAAATTTAATGCTTGCAAAATCTCCCCCAAAAATTCCCATTTCACATAATCATAGGCTTTCTTAATATCCACCTTCAACAGATAGTTACTAGAAGCATTCATTCTCCTATAATGAGCAACTAAATCTTGAATGTTGCAGATATTGTGAATAATCTGCCTATTCTCCACAAAACCAGCTTGATTAGGAGAAATAATCACAGGGAGCACCTTCTTCAATCTATTACAAATCAACTTAGTAATGCACTTGTAGATTACATTACAACAAGCTATGGGCCTAAACTCTAATTCAGAAGTATTAGAAACACGTTGTTTCGAATAAGAATTCAAAAATTGAAAAGGGTCCAATAGTTTGTTTTGAAAAGAAAATTTTTCTAGTAGGCAAAAATATTAATCATATTATTTTCAAAACTGGACCAAAAATGGAAAGAAAAGTCTAGCTCGTAATTAAGTGTGACTTTTTTGTCCAAGATTGATGAAGGTAAGTTGTAATTTGAAACTTATTTCAACAAAGATATGAAAATGTGAGTAAATTTTTGTATATCTAATTTTGTTTATGTTCTACTTTTTAGTGTTTGTCATCATTGTCATATTTTGCTAACTGAAAGTGAAATTCTTTCAATTAAATAAGAACCATAGTCTGAAAATGAATGTTTTATTAAATTGTTCTAATCACTTTCCAAAATATAGTCTCATTTTAAAATGAAAGTTAAGGTGAGACTTATATTTTTAATTTGAAGCACCCAAGTGTAGACTTAGGTGACTTTTGGATTTCATGTATACATATGCTAGGGGATGTTTCTCATGTTTATTTGAAGCCCCAAGGTTTGTATTTTTAATTTGTGGAATATTGCATATGTTTATAATGAATTGTTTGATCAAGTAAAATAAGTAATTATCTTGGTCAAATAATAGGAAGTTGTATTCTTCCCTTCGTCATTTAAAGTTATTAAGATGGTTCGTAATAACCTTTGCATGACATTAATTTCGTAGCATAAATAGCATGTTCAAATCTGTAAATAGAGAGAAGTGGGGATGTCCTGGCTTTTTAGCCCCTAGTTTGATGCAAAAAGCGAAAAAATTATACTATTTTTTTTAGTATTTTAGTTGCCAAATGGGAGGGATCATCCCGACTTACCCCCTAAAAAAGAAATGAACAAAAAAGACGGATTTGTATAAAAAGGAAGGGGAATCCAACTTTCCATAGAAGCATAAAGAAAGAAAATTAGACATGTTTTCGAAAAGCAAGGATTATTGACTTAATATTTGAATCATCGTGATAACTTGACAGTGAGGTATACATGTGATAGCGATAACGATCATTTTTTTCATGTAGCGATCATGTTCAATTAATATTCCTCGCTTAGAGAAGATGGAGATATCCCACGTAGGCGGACATTTTAGTTGCTCATGACAAGTGAAAATACCAATTCTCAAGAGTTGTAAAAGACATCTAAAGTTGACGTCGAGGCTGTCGATATATCAAATCAATTTATTTTGTTAATTCTTTTTCTTACTAGGAAAGGTATATAGAACCTGAATTACCTTGGTAATAAATGGCCCTATTATTAAAAGAAAATAAGATGATTGTTTTTTTTTAAAGTGATAATCATCTCATTTTTCTTTGGCCAAAGATATGGAAAACATCGAATTTAGTTTGATTCAATTGCTCTACTAACATGATGTAATTAAGCCAATGGCTATCAAATCATCCAAATTTTATTTATACATGATCTTGTAATCATAACTCAACACTTCATGCATTTTATATATGGGCATGACTACTTAATAGTAGGTCCATATGTGCAAAGGCCTAAGATTGGCCATATTTTAATGAAATGATGATTTTGGTACATTGTTATGGTCTACCTCAAGGAGGGCCTTTCCAAGGTTGTAACGTGGCTAGGCTTGGGGTTATGAAGAATGATAAACTCAAGTATACTCCCAAAATCCCTTACTTTTGGTGCTTCTTAAATTAAAACCCTTCTGCTTTGTGTGGCAACGTCCTACATTAGGTGCCTTTTCCTTGTCCTCTCTCTTTTTTTTTTTCATTATCTCTTTTTTTCGACAAGTTTTGTTTTGGGTTTAGAAGGATTTTTTCTTTTTTCTTTTGGATTTTATCTTTCCTTTTGGGTTTAGACTAACTTTGTGTCCCCCTCTTATGTTTCGTTCCCCCAATTTCCTATTTGTATCTTTGCACCATTCCCATCCCAAGGTGTGGAATAATATAGGTTGAATAACTAAGGCTCAATTGACAAGGCTCAAAAGGGCTGCCAAAAAGATGGATTTTCTCTACGGTTAAGAACATGGGATCACATTTATGGAGTTTCAAGTTGCCTCCTTTGTTGGTGAAATCATCATATCCTTTCTTTGTGGGCCTAAGATGGGCCTCTTTTCATTCAATACATCTTGTAAGCCAAAGCTCATCAAGATTCTTAAAATGTTGAGTATGTATGCATTTTGATGTTGCCTGTTTATATGTATACATTTTATTTAATTCAAGTCAATAACAATAAAGAGATTGAGAAGATAACAAGATAGACGTACTTGAAAATATATTTTGTATTCATTAATTAATGAGAGTAAAAAATAAGTAGATTCGACAGCATGAATCTCTTAGTCTATAAAAAAAACAAAGGAAAGAAACAAAACAAGACCTAGGGTGCTACATCTTGAATTGTTGACAACTTCTTGAGATTGCATCTTCGAGCATTGTTTGTTTTCGACGTAGGTGAAATCCTCACTAAAAATCAAGTCCATCTATATGATTCATGGTTTCATTTATCAAGTCCCTTTCAATTAATATTCCCACATTATAGACTTTTTGAAATGTGTCTAAACCAAGGTATTGTAAATGGCACTTGTATGGTGGAGACATATTGTCTATGAACTTTGGGACAAGTTCATAATCCGGAGGTCTTTGTGGAATAAGAGAAACCTTTTATCGCCACCTAGAAAAGAAGTCAATAAAGCCTTCTTCTTCCCCTTGCTTAAGCAATTCGAGATCGCGCAAGGTAGTTGTGAGCTCAATGTTATCTCCGTATTAGGTTAAAAATGCTTTTACAACGTCACTCCAAGTGGAAGTTTTTTTGCATCGAGGTTATAAAACCATGATCTAGCATTTAGGTCCAATGAAAGAGGAAAAGTACATGCATATAGGCTTGGCTCAACCCCTTTCAATGCCATAATACCAATAAAGCTCATTAAGTGAGTCCAAAGATTGTCTGTAACCTTAAAGGTTGGCAAATTCTGTAGTCAAGAACTTTTCTAGGAAAGTCTTGCCCCTAGGTTGTGGTGCAAGCTCATAATTGAAGTACTTATTCCCTGAGTTAGCTCGAAGGACAAGTTTTCTCCAAGGCCTATACTCTTTCGGCTTTTACTTTTTCTTGCAGAATGTGATCTTTTTCTTTTTCTGCTTTTATTTTAGCCTTTTCTGCTTTTTTATGAGCCTTCATTTGGGCATCTTCTTCTCGTACGGCCTTTAGGTTTTGGAGTTCCTCTCTAAGTTTCTCCAATGCTGCTTTGTCACCCATGATTGGACTAGTATGCGAATGTGGAAGATGATCTAGTAATGTGTATCACGAGAAATTTAGGGCGTTCACTTGAACCTTTTCTGCCAAACATTAAAACAATGAACCAAAGTCAAAATGATTGTTTTATTTCCTTTTTTTAATCCTTGTAATACGAATTCACCTTAAGCAAGTTTGTTGATGAAGAATGTTAAAAAATTCACGAACAATCATTAATGAAATGTCATGATTTGAGTTGACTTCAACAAGGTAATCATCTAAGGATTTTACTTTAAATGAATTGTTTTCGAAAAAGGTAGAAGAGAAAGTCAATAAAGTTGGATTAAAAATGCTCATCAAATTTTAGGAACATTAATCAAACCGAACATACTCCTTAAAATGATCAATATACTATAGTATTTGTTGATCATTTAGATTACAATAGAGATCAACAACGTTTTTTTTATATTATGATTCTCATATTGCTTATCTTTAAAGGATAATATATTACTATTTGTTTAAAAAGAATGATAGCCTCCGAATATACATTCCAAGAAATAATTAAATCATTTTTTCGGTTTTATCATTCATTATTTTCTCTCTTTTTTTTAGAATAATATTTTTTTTTTGTATCATACTCTCTTTTTTATTATTTTTAAGAACGACATTTCTTTTTTTTTCGTTCTATTTCTCTCCTTTTTTGTGTGCGAGGAAATCATCCCAAGTAAAGTTCTCGGGATTTTCTTTTTAAACCATAGAAGAGGTAAATAAATTATACTCTTAAATCAAGGTTGACCAATTAGAACTAAAAATGATGAACACGAAAATATACACGTTTAAGAATAAACATATTGTTGACGTCCTATTAAGAGATGCGAACTTCTAATGGCGAACTCATAAGAAGTAATGTCATTAGTTTGATTATAAAGTACGTAAACGAATCATCATAATAAAAAATAGTATCGCGCGCAATTTTCCGTCTTGCGCTAAGGTGGTAAGTGCTACTTCAAGAGTAGCATCAGCCACATGCTTCTTTTTTTTTTCCTTTTTTTTTTGCAAAAACGCAATAAGAACGATAAAAAAAACATTTTATTTTGTGAATATGCAAAAAGAACGATCCAAAAAGAAAACATGTTTTTGGATCTTTCAAAAAAAAACGATCATAGTAAAAGTTAGACAACGTTGTTAGCCAAAGAGATATTTTTAGCACCTACTTAACGATTAACCCTGAAGCGGTAGTATCGTTTTCTCCGTATGATATTGCTCGTAACGAGTCAAAGTCAACGTTGAACAGTGGGCGCACGCAAGACATTGTGTTGTGCGGAGGTGCCGCGCGCAACTTCTAAACTTACACTAGGAGGGCGCGTGCAACTTTGACAGTTGCGCGTGCCGCCTGGTAGGTTCGTCAAATTTTTTTTTTTTTTTTTTTTTTTTGCTAAAACACAAAAAGAACGATAACACTTTTTTTTATTTTTTTTTTTGTCGAACCATAATTTTTGCGAATATTTTTTTTTTAAATATCTCTAGGTAACAAGTTGGAATTAGTTAGATTAGACACAAAGCACATATTCATTTAGTCACATAAGCACATAAAAG